GCAATAGTAGTAGTGATGTTATTACCACCATCTTCATATTGAATACAACGACACCTGTGCTCTCTACACGGTGTAAGATGCTCGCAGTTGTCGTCACAATCCAATACTGTATGGCATCTCAATGAAATTACGGGTCCCCTTCCATCTGCAACTCTGATCTCCAAACCTTGAACCACAACCCACAATTAGTAAACTCTTATAAATCAATATACAAATAATTGTTACAATCAATACGCAATATCATCAAATGCATACCAGCTACGAATAATAACACGACATTAATGAAAACCTACTTCAACGTTGCACTCTTTTCCATGTCTTCTGTTAACAACTCGAATGTACAAAGGTTTATATCATGTATTTTTTGTGCACGCTTGATGAACACAATTGTTCTTGTTGTTGGCGTATATAGATGTATACTATGAACTGAGATATCAAATCTTATTGATATTATTTCCTTTATATGGACATAGAATCCTAGTAATATTCTTTCCTTTTATATGGATATCAATTCAGTTTTGTATTTATATTTTATTTATGTACTTGCCTTTACTCTTATATAAGAGTAAGGAAGGATGAAAATCATTGTTATGAGAACCGAACCTGATCAACGGCCGAATCAATAGAACCGTCAAACCCGTTATAATAGCGCTCTAGTTCATTGCTTGGACAGTTATTGATGGACCAAACGGTTTTTCACGGTTCAACATAATATCAGATGAACCATCACGGTTTAACTGGTCCACTGGTTCACTATTTTAACAATAAAAGGTTTAAAAAATACTTTAACATAAACTAAGACCATCAAACCATAATTATTAATTTTATATATGCTTCCTCTTCTCATTTACACCTTGTTGTCGACTTTACCTTGTCCATTACAGACTGACACCGTAATTTTTAATTTGTATAAACAAATATGATTTATTTTGTGGATGGTTTGAATGATTTATTAGATATTTTGGTGATGATATGAATTTGAAATTATTTATGGTCAACGATAATTTCATTGTTAAATTAGTGTAATATACAAATCTTATGTTATATATCATGAATGGTTCACCAACGATTTTGTAATAGTTAACCACTGGACCCTAAACCACTAACTTTTCTGGTTCAGCCTCTGGTCCGGTTCTGAAAACAGAGATAAACCATTTTGCATGTTTTAGGCGGTTAAATGTAATTAGTCTAGTTAGTCTTGTAGTTAGTTTGATTAGTCGTTAGATGTTTCCCGCTCACTCTCTCTTCTCCTTTTCCCCCAAAACTCTGTTTATAAACCAACTGATCTTCAATTGATCAGTATGATTCTTTACTGCAAATTTATCAATAATACAAATTTCTATAAGAATCTATCATGGTATCAGAGCTACACTGAGTAGTTTGTTCTTGATTTTTGCTTCCGCATTCTATTTATCTTTTCCTCATGTCAAACCCTAGAATATGTTCTCCTCAGGCAGCATTCACCGATTCTTTTGGCACGTGCGCCATTTTTATACCTTGCAAAGGAGGATTGTCTACTTCTTGCCATCATGAAGTTTCGATGGCAAATCCATCCAGTTCGTTCCTTAATCATCCGAGCGAGAACTAGGGAGAGATTTCGGTATCGTAACCACTCAACGAGTCAAACTTCTCCAATTGAGAGTGCTCTATGATTCTCGTTCTTGACAGCAAGAACAAGCTTGGTTTCCTCAGTGGCCAGATTTTTTTTCCGGTCGAAGGATTACCGTTATACGAGCCATGGAATCGCAACAATAAATTGCTTCTCAGCTAGATCCAATCCTCGGACAATCTGATGATTTTTTTAAGAGTATCCAGTACATGCCTTAGCTGGATGTGCTTGGACTGAGCTAAGGGAGCAATTCTTATAGGGTGATTCTTTTCGCATCGCGATCTTTAAATATTATTCTCTGCCCTGAAACGAGATACATTAACTGTCTCCTAGTATTTTTCCAAGCATAGAGCATTATGGAATCTTCAAGGTATCCATCAATCTATCTCTTATTGTGATTTTGGCTCTAACTGTCAGTGTGTGTTAGCACCTCAAGGAAAGAATCACATGAATGATATGGTGATTAGGTTTCTTAGAAACTTGAATATATTTTGATGGCCCTCATTCCACTGTATGGTGTTAGACCCCTTACCACCTATCAATAAGGTGTTTGCCATGATGGTTCACCATGAAGGAGAGAATGAATTACTCTCCAATCCTTCTGACAATCACAATCCCAATCCTACAAATGACAGTATCGTCTTCTTTACTGGAGGTACTGGGCATAATCTAAGAGTTCAAACTGTTGGACAAGGCTTCAAGAAACTAGGGGGAAAACCAGTTTGTACTTTTTGTGGATATACAGACCATACTGAGGAGGTGTGTTACAAAAAGAATGGTTAACCTTCGGGTTATTAATCTAAAATAAAAATTAGAATCGACAAGAAAGTCCAACAGACTAACACTGCACCATTGATAGTCACAGAATATGTTTCACTACCTAGAAGAAAGTCTATCAGACTAACAAAACCACCTAGTCGACTGAAAAATTATAAATGCTACCTTGTTAGCAACACCGCTCATAATTTAGAGAATATTTCTTATCATATTCAGAACATTCTCACTTACAATACTCTTAGTGCAAAACACAGAACGTTGGCCCTATCCATTAATCTTCAAAGCAATGTTGTCAGAACCGAACCGGAGCATGACCCGGTAATGCGAACGGCTCGCACTTTAGCGGTCCAACCGGCATTAGACCGTTTAAAAACCGTTAGAGAACCGGTATCTAATAAACGTTATCAGTATAAATAGTGGACATTTCTTAATCAGAGCTCATCTCTTTCCTTCGAAATTGTGAAATGGAAATAAGGATTCAATTTGAGAGCCCGACGTTTTTGGTTTATTTCAATTTTCAATTTTCTACAATTTTATTAATTAAATTTAGTGGCTGAATGGCAAAAACCGGACGAGCGGCTCGATCGGCTCGAACGGTTAACCGCCTCGGCCGCTCGCAAACCGCTACATAAAACCGGAGCGGCTTTTAGACTGTTCCGAGCCGGTTTTGTGACCGGGTGACGGTTTTATCGGTCGGGCCGAGCGGCTTGGCTCGGCTTTAATAACACTGCTTCAAAGAGTACCGGAAACCTATAAGCAAGCTTCCAAATCTATTGAATGGTTGCAAGCAGTCAATTATGAACTCTACTAATTAGATAAAACCCAAATTTGGATTCTAGTTGGTCCTCCTCCAGATAAGCCAACCATTTGTAATAAGTGGATCTTTAGAATTAAGTTGAAACATAATGACAACATTGATAAATTCAAAACCAGACTAGTTGCTAAAGGCTACAATCAGACTCTTAAAGTAGATTACCTAGATACATTCTCTCATGTTGCCCAGATGACAACTTTGAAGATTATACTGGCTCTAGCTTCAGTTGACAATTGATTTCTTGAGCAACTTGATGTTAACACAACATTCTTCATCGAGAATTAAACGAAAAGGTTTACATGGTGCAGCCACCTGGTTTAGTTACTCACCTTTTTTACAAACACAAAGTTTGTAAACTAGTCAAATCCTTATATGGCTTCAAACAAGCTAGCAGATATTGGTTTGCTAAACTAGCCACAACATCGGAATCCTTAGGTTACCAGAAATCTCATCATGATTATTCCTTGTTCACATGGTCATTTGGACCATATTTTACAGCATTGCCCCTTTATGTTGATGACATTATCCTCACATCCAATTGTTTTCCAGAGATACAACTAGTCAAACAACACCTAGACATGCCTTTACTATTAAAAACCAAGGACAATTGTTAAAATACAACTAGTCACACAACACCTAGACATGCCTTTACTATTAAAAACCAAGGACAATTAAAATACTTCCTTGGAATGGAAGTATCAAGAACATCAAAAAGAATTCATCAGTGCCAAAGAAAGTATACACTAGATATACTTTCTTATATTGGTTTTCTTGTAAGTAAACCTACCACTACTCCTTCCACACCTGCACTCAACTTTTAGGATGGTGTTCCATTAGATGAAGTTGCTCATGGAAACTACAGAACCTTCATAGGCAGATTCAATATCTATGCAACACCATACCTAACATATGCGTTACAGTAAACCAACTTATTCGATTTGTTGGTGCACCTACTTCACTCCATGAACAAACAAACCATAAGCTTATGTTCTTTCCTTCAAGAACTCATTCACGTCTCACTACTTTTTCAGTTTCAAATTGGGCAGGATGGCCTAATACAAGGCGATCAACTATTGGATACTGTGTTTTTCTTCGCGACTCTCTTATTAGCTGGCGATCTCAAAAGCAGCATTACTAGGCCGCCCATATAGGGGTGCAAATGAGTCAAGTCACTCATGAACGGCTCGATGTTCGGCTAAAGAAAAATATTTTTAATACTCGATTCGTTGCTTAATGAGTTGGCTCGTTAGCTAGCTCGTTTACTAATGAGTTTATCCTAAGTCGGGTCTTGTTAAGCTAATTAAACTCGCTATTTAGCTTGATAATGTGACTCACACACAAACTTTAGTACAGCTCATGAGCCAACTCGAGCAGCTTGTGGGCTAAGCTACAAATGACTCTTGTGATGACTCACCCTTACAAAAAAAAATGACTCTTGTGATGGTTAATGTACATATCTTATATCTTTTGACATAGGGTGATGTTAGACTTTGCTTACAACAAGTATAATCAAAACAAAACAAATAAGAAGTCTCTCTTAATGAGAAATGTTTGTAACTTATGGCCTTCAACCAATAGTCTCCAATTCACTCTATGATAAAAATGCCCACTTAGCAAGACAGTGCCACAATGGTTGCAACGAACGTATCCACAGTCACAGACCACTATTGGTCCTAAACAACCTCCATCTCCTCATGTTGGGCGTGCTAAAAAGAATACAGTGCAATATTTTTAACAAGGCAAAAAGTGAAAATAGTTATGTATTACTTGAATAATGGTTTTTTTTTTTTTTTACATATATTACTTGAATAATGTTTAGTCAAACCTTTGATGAAGCTAGATTGTTAATTATCATTTCGTCATTTACCAGAACGTAGGGGAAGACTAGATACACTGCCTGCTACCAGTTTACAGTATAAACCAACTCTTTGATGAAAGCTCAAATCAATCGAAAAACACGAAACGAAATCACAGAAGCATATGGTAAACATCACTTTCATGACCACGATTAAGAACTGGCAGCGAAGATAATGGCAAAAAATACAACAATCGTAGGTGGCCATTGTGATTGTGTATCAAGTCAGGCGCAGTAATATCTATGGTAATCAACAAGTTATTTCTTCCCTCAGCAAGGGATTGTGTAGTAAGTGTAACCCCTACCTTCTTCACATTCGCGACCATGAAAACGGATTTTGCAGCATAACTACACAAATGGTTACTCAGCGCCTGGCTCAGGAACGGCAGATTTCTTGTATTCGGGCTTCAGCTCGTAGGTCCCTTGATTCGAACCTCTTTTGTTGTATACGCACAGCTCATTAAGAATCTCTTTCAAAAATTGCTAGCATACAAAAGCAAATTCCGATGTCAGCACAATAGTATGACTTAGAAGGATTGGAACAACCAAAAAGTCTTACTGGCTAACAACACAGGGTTAAGATTTTGATGGGGAAAGAGAAGCTTACTGCTGGTTGATCTGTCTCTTGGACAAGCTGCTTCAGGGCCCAGTTAGGTTGTCTCTCAAACAGCTTGAACATTATATCCTCTAGTTCACCACGATCCCTTCTGGTTCTTTTCACCTCAGTTTGCTTCACAGGTTGAGGCTTCCTTTTCTCCTGCTCACAGACCAACCACATTGGCGATTATGATATTGATCATTCTTTCAATAACTTGGGCTTGGAACATTGGGCTTAGCGAAAGGATGGGATGAGTAACTCGGTACACAGCACGAAGAAAACATCTATACCTTTGAGTTCGATGATATCAAGCCCAACATTCCAGGCATTGGTCTCATATGCATTCCCCGGTTATCATCTATCACCTTATTGCACAAAGAGCAGGTAGCAGCCGTATCACATTTACAAGCTTCCAAACTAATGAGCAGATGAAGCTTTGCTTCCAGTTTAAGGGGGATTATGATACCTGTATTTGCCTAGTCCTGATCATTGATTTATTTGTCCTCTCACGACATAACCGGCCATACTCTTCAATGTTTTCGTTATGTGGCTTCAGGTCAAATTTATGATCCACTTTTCCTTCAACAGCAACCATCCCACCTACACCAAATTCACAAGTTTGAAGTCCTTACCAGAATCCAACCAGCTACATATCTATGCTCTCTACAGCAAACCAAATACAAAACAGGTCCAGAACGACAGAATAACAAGCAAATTACGCAGAACCAAATTTCCTATATCCAATCAGATGGTGGAGGACCTTCACGGCCTTCTAGAGCAATCATCCAATTCAACAGAAAGAAAATTATTTGAACATTCGAGAAGAGAAAAGTGAGGCTGACCTGTATTTGGCTCAGAAAAGATAGACATAGGGACGAAGTCTTTAGTCATATTCAAAGAGTAGCTCTTAGGTAGATTCTCAGTCTCACTGTCTGCCATCTCCATTCTGAACTACACGCGAGATAGTATGAACACATTTCAGCGAAACTGCAAATTGTTCCGTGCAGTAAAAGCACAGAACAGAACTGCTCAAACTAAAAGGAAAAGGATGAACTTGTTCAGTAAATACAGAAAATATATAAGACACGTGCTACCGATTTCCGAGCCTTGTACAACAAGCAGCAACCGGATAAAATTAAAATCCATGTATATCACTACCTAATTGCAGTACTGCCGCTTATATATGGCAGCTTTGTGGAATAATAGTGCAGATGATTGAGCACTGAGAGCGTAATAGAAAATCAAAGACGAAACCACATAGAGAATCAGATTTCGTGATACCAAATGATGGCAGAAAACCTCTGCAATTGTCACAACTCATAGGCATAAGCATGAATCAAAAACTTCCATTGCCATTATCAGCCTAATTCTGCAGCAATTCTAATTCTTCCGATAGAGATAACCCTAAAAGTTCCAAACCAGTAACCTAGCACTACCAATAGCAAGTCAAAAGCGACATCACCATAGACAAACTAGCCACCTACAACACACCTAGGGTTTCCAGACGAAGTACAAGCTCAAAGAGCTCCCTCAATCTAACTCAGAAGCCTAATCTCAACAGATCTAGAAACCCCGTAGCAGCAACTGACAACCGATTAAACCTCCAAACAAAGAAAAGTACCTGAGGAGGTTCGTCCGCCTGAAGAGGATCGAGAGAGACGACGACTTTCGCCACTGGCTGCGAATCGGAAGAAGCGGCGTGAGCTTGCCATGACTTCGCCACTACTAACGGGCATTTCATGAGCCACACCGCTCTATCTGCCTTCGCCGTCTCCAACACACCGCCCATGGTTGCAGCGTTACTGCCGTCGTCATCAACCGTCTCCCTATACTCTCGCTTCCTGTACCTCGAGGAATTCGGCCGTCGATTCTCCATTTGACTTAGATTTCAGATCTATCGCAGCAAAGCTTTTCCTTTCCACCTAGTCGCCCTTCCTGTCTTCTACGCTGCTTTGACGGTGTCTGAATTTCGTTTCAAATGACTTTAGTCTAACTACAGTAATAAACTTATAACGGCGAGTAAATAAATCAAAAATAAATATCGGGTCGAAAACGGAGCCCGCTGCGGGTTTATTGTAGATATACGGACCAACAATAACCAGGCCCAAAGCCACAAACGGGTCCAAATGATACTGCGTCCTATTAAGAACATAGTAATAATTTAATTTAATTTAATTTAATTGGAGATGCAACGGATCTGGAAGGAAATTGAGAGATTTTCCATTGAATTTCGATAGCGAATACAACTTCTCTACGAGTAATCAATACACAGTCATAACCACAAACGCTAAACCGAAGCTAATCAAACAGAGCGATGCAATAGAAAGGAAGCTTAAGCCCTTTCGCCTCTGATGCGGCGGGCGAGCTGGATGTCCTTGGGCATGATTGTGACCCTCTTGGCGTGGATGGCGCACAGATTGGTGTCCTCGAACAGACCCACGAGGTAAGCCTCGGCGGCCTCCTGGAGAGCGGAGACGGCACTGCTCTGGAAGCGGAGGTCGGTCTTGAAATCTTGGGCGATTTCTCTTACTAGCCTCTGGAAGGGGAGCTTGCGGATCAGAAGCTCGGTGCTCTTCTGGTACTTCCTGATCTCCCTCAAAGCGACCGTTCCGGGCCTGAAGCGGTGGGGCTTCTTCACACCGCCGGTTGCCGGAGCGGACTTGCGGGCGGCCTTCGTCGCCAGCTGCTTTCTCGGGGCCTTGCCGCCGGTGGACTTGCGGGCAGTCTGCTTCGTGCGGGCCATTGCGGATTCAGAGAGTCGAAGGAGAGGAGATGAGCTAGATCTGGAATTTGGGGGTAATTAAGGATTTGAGAACTTTGAAATAAGGGAATGATGAGGTAAAGTGGATGGAACTGGAGATGTATTTATAGTAGATTGGATTGGAGAAGCGGGAATTTGAAAATTTTCCGCGTTCGTGTTCTTTTGGGTTTGCGAGGCGGGAGGCTGTGGGGAGGATTCTGGAGCGTCGATCAGGGGCAACGGTTGGGAATGCTTAGAGCAGGAGTTGACGCGGATCGCTATCTGCGAGGGAGAACTTGAAATTTTGTGGGTGTTGAGGAAATGGTGGGATCTGAACCGTAGATGGAGAGCGTACGGACGGCTGAGAATGAATTGAACCTTGTGACGCGGATTGATCTCATTTTGAACGAGAGTTTCTTGATTGGGTTTAATTAGGTAAAGCCCAATGGGTAACCATCTGTCGGTCGGCTTTCTGTCTGAAGCCCATTTTATTTGGATTGTAGTTTTCATTGGTAGAAAGACGGTCCATTAATATTATCTCAATTATCACTACACCAATCAGTTATGCACCAACTCTAATCGATCATGAAATGCAAAATGTTCATCAAATTCCCAAATATTTTTCAATTTTAATTAGTATGATCCCAACTTATTTATATCCGTTCACCACCTCCAATCACCTTTCATTTGTTTGCTCCACTGCATGAGCTTCCTTCCTTCCCATCACCTTGGTCACGCAAAATGACCACTTATGGAGATAGGTAAACTGATTACAACATGGTAGTTGATTGATCGATCGATTTGTTTTTCGACTGTATGATTAGGGCTTTGATCCGTGTGACAAACGCTCACAATTTCGCGTGATTTCATACGACGATGATGACTGAATGGAATGAGTAAGTGATATAAAAAGAAGAAGAAAGCACGAGGCAACTTAGCCTGACAATATTGAAAGCACATCAACAAAATAGATTCCATTGCCAAATTCAACAGCAACTATACGTAGTGCTTCCTTTCATGAGTAGGTATCTTGAATATACACAACCAAGAGCATAGACCAACAATCCCAATTAGCCCATTGGCCATACATTGCTGTCCACTAAGTATACCATGGTGCTTTGGCTGTCACATAACGAACCAACATTCGCAAGTGGGCAGGCCATGGAAGATGCGGATCCGTTTGAAAATGACCTAGTTGGAATCTTCTAATATTAGTCAGGCTAAGAAGGTGGTATCTTTCATAAGTAGCTAGCTTTAGCCTCCCTTTTTTTAGTTAGTGTATCACATTTGCTCCAAGATTCCAATGTGATCGAATGTTACTACTAGTAGTTACTACCCTTTGGAGGATGTTAATCATAGCACGAGTTTAACTTGACAATGACCATACACATTGAAACCCTAGGTGGGATTTTGGCTTATAGGGGGCGGTTTTTAGGGTTACCTTGGGGGAGTGAGGAGTGCCCTTTTCCACAAACCATGGGCATGGCTCGCAAGTGCAAAGCAAAGGTAGATGATTGAAGAGGGAGATTTGATATAATGGAGACTTTTGTCACTCTCCCATGGAGAATAAAGGGATCCCAAGATAAAGAGTGGCCCAATAATTCAAGAAATGGATCGAGTGACTGAGAGTGAGATAGTCAAGGATGGTCTTGATCGAAATAGGGAAAGGGTGTGTATTGCCTCCCATTCGCAATGAGATATTTCCTTATCTCATCAAAATATATATATACACATACATAATTTCCAATCGTGGAATACACGAGTCATCAGAAGGAAACATATCTGAATATATAATTTTGATGACCAAAATTGTTACCTAACAAAACAAGCAATTGAGCCTAATAGCTAGGTTCGGTACAAGCAAGATATGCGGAGATAACATGAGAATAAGCTTTTTGCCTTAAGTTTCATGCACGCTCTTAAATTTATTATCAATCGAGATGATTAGCGTCGACACTATATTTGTAGATATTAATATATATATAAAAGCTTAAGCAAAGTTACTGTTGCCTAAAAATTTTGCTAACTTACACCACCTTCATTTAATTTGGTAACCTAACCGCTAATGGAAACAAACCAATATAATTATATTATTCATAAAAGATGGGTAGAGGGAAACATGCAAGACATCTGGTACGGTCGTTCTTACCATTGCAACTAGCACTCACCTACATTAGTGAATTGATGAACTTGCTAATTTTGTAAGGTGTGTTATGGTCCGGTCTTAATCAAATTCATGAGAACAGCGATTCAATAGTGAAATACATTTTAGAATTAAGGACCAGATCAACAGTGCATCCATATGATTTTGGCTTGGTTTAGTCTGGTCCAAAAGTCAATTCAATTATTTTTCTTCCGTATTTATAAATTTATAAGACTAAGGATCGGACTACATTATATTCGATTCGGTGTGATCTGATCCAAAATTCCATTTGAGCCTATGCGGTCTGATACGGACCAACCTGTTGCACACTCCTGTTGATTAGGATTGGGTTAATTATTTAAGGAAACCAAGATTATTACGTGGGCATGGGAAGCCCACTGCTATCATCTATTTTATATAGTCTAATTATGATTTTTACTTTTTTTGTCTAACTATGAATAATGATTAAATTTATTGGTTTTTCAATAGTTACTAGTTGAAATGAACGGCGATCTGCTTTCTCCGGCGACGGCTCTCAGCCCCTCCGACAGACCGCCAGACCCACCCCGACTGTCTTCCGTGCACACGCACACGGCCACCACACCGACTTTAGTGCCTGATAAGGTTGGATCTGATGATTCGATGGCAGTAGATGCTCCGGCGACAGAGGCCCCAGAGATAGGGAAATCAACACAGGGAGTGTCTTCCTATGCGAACGCAGTCCGGGGGGCAAATATGGCTTCCTCCAAGGCGGTGATCCCATGGACCCCAATAGGCGAAAACGACCTTGTTGCCGGATCTTACAACGGCGAACCTGAACTGAAGGTCTCAGCTGGCCTCAAATCCAAACTGAGCGCCCCTTGGCAGAGATCGCTGGTCGTTCGCACGCTAGGCCTGCGGATTTCCTACACGACTTTCTGTCACAAACTTCGGGCACAATGGCGACCGACTGGAACGATGGAGATCATGGTTCTTGGGCAGGAATGTTTTATTGTTAGGCTCGACAACGACGCAGACTACTTCCGAGCTCTGACGGAAGGGCCTTGGATGATTTTTGACCACTACCTGCTGACTCAACAATGGACGCCGGAGTTTCGGCTGTCCAATAAGCTGCCAAGCACCATGATTGTTTGGGTACAGCTCCCAGCGTTCCCAATCCATTTTTACCACAGAGAGGTGCTGTTCTCGATCGGGAATCTGATCGGGCGGACTATAAAACTAGACTATCATACGCAGCACCAACAGAGAGCAAGATTTGCCCGAATTGCTGTGGAAGTGGACCTCTCCAAACCATTGGCGACGCGTATCCGACTCGATGGGAAATGGCAGTATTTGGAGTATGAAAACCTACCGATCCTCTGTTTCGAATGCGGGAGGGTAGGGCACACTAAAGAAGTTTGTCCATCATCAGTCCAATCGGCGCCGGCTCTGTGTCTTGAGGCACCTGGTAACTCGCCGGCGGTGATGTCAGCGGCGACTCAAGCATCGGAAGAGGAAAAGGAAGGTTTTGGTCCATGGATGCAGGTGACGAGGAAATCACGGCGGGGGAGTAGGGATTCAACAAAAGGAAACTCGATCAACAGAAAAGGGGAAGGAGATATTCAGGGGAAAGGTGGAAAAGGAAAGGCTGGTATCAAGGACACCCCCGTAGCAGAATCTCGTCCGCCGAGAACCACGTCATCTGGAAATCTTGAGCTATCGGCGGGAGGAAAAGCAGGGATGGATCGCAGCACCAACCCTAAGCATAAAGGAAAGGCGGTTGTTGAAAGCCTTCTGGGCGGAGAAAGAGGTAAGGGGGTGCTGGGCCCGGTTCCAAAGCCTGTAGGGCCCAGCCCAGGGAAACCCGCTGGAGGGATCTCTATGTCGCGGGCCCAAGGCAAAGGCCCCTCTTCTTCAGGGACGAAACAAGACCCTCCCCCGGCCCTCTTTGTAGCCCCCCTCACTGATGGGCTGGCAGCCCAAAATTCCCCCTCCCTGACTTCAATACCCAGCAATAATGGAACCAAAATTCAGATAGTTAATCTCCCCCAACCTGATCCGAGCGAAGACCCCCCCGACCGACAAAAACTCTCTCTCGGCTGCAGCGCGGACCAAAAACCAGAAGAAGCATCTTAAAAAACATAGCTCCCCAGCCAAAACCCCCCGCCCTGTTACCTCTAAAGCCCTCCAGATTTGGACTCCGATTAAGGGAAAGAAGAACAAGGCTCGCACCAAAATTGCGACCCTTACCCTCCAAGACATTGAAGCCTGGACGGAAGCTGCGGGGCGAAAACAAGGGGAGGAAATGGTCGGGATAGCGGACTGTGACGCCGCCGGCGATAGCCTGGGGAACGCGGCGGCCTCCACCAGCGAATGATTGGCGCCGCCGATCACCTTCTTTTCCCTTTTCTTCTCCTTTCTATTTTTAATTATTATGTCTATGTCGTCAACTCAAAGTTTCAAATGTATGTCTTGGAATATTGGTGGAGCTGGGAGCGCCTCCTCTGCCAGAGCGCTCAAGTTCCTTGTCATGAATTACAGACCTGACTTCCTTTTTATCTTGGAACCGCAGATAAGTGGCGATTCAGCAGATAAGGTGTGCGGGAGGCTGGGGTTCTCCAATGTTATGCGTGTTGAAGCCGAGGGGAGGAAGGGAGGCATATGGCTTTGCTGGAATGCCTCTGATTTTCAGCTCCAAGTGCTCTCCGCCTGCTCCCAGCACCTTTCAGTGGTGGTCACTGCTCGTTCAGCCCAGAAATGGCTCCTCACAGCCATCTACGCTAGTCCGCGGCCCTCCCAACAGCGTTCTCTTTGGCAAACTCTTCTTCACACCAGCCTTACCAATGATCTTCCTTGGCTGCTGTCTGGAGACTTTAATGCCATTAGAACGCCAGAGGAGAGAATGGGCACTCCCTCGGATGCCACTTTTCGCAGATGTAAAACCTTTAATGACAGGATTAACCTAACTGAGCTTATTGATTTGGGTTTTACAGGGCCTCGCTTCACCTGGACTAGGGGAGACAATATCAACTCGGTCAAAGCGAGTCGGATTGATAGAAGCCTCTGCAATGCCCTGTGGAATGCCACCTACCCAAACACTACAGTCAAGCACCTGCCTCGCCTACAGTCAGACCATCATCCTATCCTTACCTCGACTGGAATTCAGGGAGTTCAATCTAATCTGATTCGTCCTTTCCGTTTTGAGGCCGCCTGGCTTACTAACCAGGACTTTGATAATCAGGTGGAAGGTGCTTGGAATCTTCAAGCTCCTCTTCCTGCTGCTCTGGCAGAGCTCGCTACTAGCCTCAATCACTGGAACAGCTCAGTCTTTGGCAACATTCTCCGCAAGAAAAGACGCCTTCTAGCTCGCATTCAGGGCATTCAGGAAAGGGTGGCTAGCAGCTTCTCTCCCGGCCTTTACAAACTTCAAGCCAAGCTAGAGAAGGAACTTGAGGAGGTGCTCGAGCAGGAGGAGCTGCTGTGGTTCCAAAGATCGAGAGAGAAGTGGGTCCAACAGGGGGAACGCAACACTGGCTACTTTCATCAACAAGCCATCATTCGCAGACGCAGGAATAAAATTGACAGTCTCAGGAACACCAATGGCGAGTGGGTAAGCGATCCCCAGGAGTTAGCTATGTTGATTTTTGACTTCTTTGCTTCCTTGTATCTCCAGGATATCGCTGATTACGAGGACTTGATGCCAAAGTCAGCCTTCCCGCGACTCAGTCATGAGGAGTTGGCAGCGCTTCTGCGACCTTTTAGGGGGGAGGACATCCACCAAGCTGTTCATGGGATGAAGCCTTTTCAAGCCCCGGGCCCCGATGGATTTCATGCTGCCTTCTATCAGAGATCCTGGAGGGTGGTGGGGAGAGCCCTCATTGACATGGCTTTGGAGTTTTTTACTACAGGGAGTCTCCCGGAGGGTGTCACCGACTCTACTGTGGTTCTCATCCCCAAAGTCGAACATCCAGAGATGGCCTCACAGCTCCGTCCGATCTCTCTCAATAATGTGTGTCTCAAAGCCATCACGAAGGCGATCACCAATCGGCTGAAGCCTATCATGAGAAAGTTGGTCTCCCCGCGGCAGAGCAGCTTCATTCCAGGGAGACAAACTACAGACAACATTATTGTTTTGCAGGAGGTATTGCACACCCTCAGGAAGAAGAAAGGGAAGAAGGGGGGAATAGTGATGAAGATTGATTTGGAGAAAGCCTACGACCGGCTTCGTTGGGACTTCCTGAGAGACACTCTCAAGGAAATCGGGCTTCCTAGCTCCTGGATTAGCTGCATTATGTACTGTGTGGAAAACAACAAGATGAGATTGTTGTGGAACGGAGACCTCTCTCAAACCATCACCCCGACTAGGGGGGTCAGACAGGGAGATCCCCTCTCACCCTATCTCTTTGTTTTGTGTATGGAGAGACTTTCCCACAGAATTGACCGGGCCATCCAGGAGAAGCAATGGAAACCCCTAAGACTTTCTCCGGGTGGCCCAACCCTTTCTCACCTTTTTTTTGCAGATGATCTAGTGTTGTTTGCGGAATCAGACGCTTCTCAGATAAGGATCATAAAGCAATGCCTTGATGAGTTCTGCAGCAGCTCGGGTCAAAGAGTGAACTACCACAAGTCAGCCATGTTTGTCTCCGCCAACATCCCTAGGCGCAGAGCTAGGGCGCTCAGTGAGCGGATGGAGATCCCTCTCACGGTGGACCTGGGGAGATATCTGGGAGTAATGGCCATCCATGGACGTGTCAAGCGGGGCCGATACCAGGACCTTATCATCAAGATCCAGAGAAAACTAGCTCCGTGGAAAGCTAAGCACCTTTCCATAGCAGCTCGTATCACTCTTGTTAAAGCAGTTACTTCCTCTATTCCCATTTACCCCATGCAGGTGGAGCTTCTTCCAAAGACTGTTTGCAAGACTCTTGACCAAATCAATCGGGGGTTCTTGTGGGGGGAATCGGAAGGGAAGAAGAAACTTCACCTCGTTGGTTGGGCCCAGTTGACTCAACCGAAAGACAAGGGTGGGCTCGGAATTCGCCCAGCCAGGGAGGTCAATTTGGCCATGCTGGCTAAATGCGGATGGCGGTTGATGACTGAAAAGCAGACTCTTTGGGCTCAGCTAATGAGGAGCAAGTACGGGAAAGATAGGGCCAACTTGGATCTCATCAAACCAAAAAAGGGAAGTTCCTTTACCTGGAACAGTATCTCCAAAACTGAAAGCTTGCTGAGAAGCGGCTGTGCTTGGAATATTCATAAGGGAACGCTAACCCGCTTCTGGTCTGATGTTTGGATTGAGCAGGTACCTCTAGAGGAGCTAGCCACTGGGCCGATTCCTGAGGAGGATAGGAATGCCAGGATCTCAGCTTTCGTGGACGAGGAGGGGACTTGGCGTACGGAGAAATTCAGCAACATTCTTCCCGCGGAAATTATTCACCGCATCACAGCGGTGGCAGTGGACCCGATGGCTCCAAATGACGACACTCTTTTTTGGCACCCTACCTCCGATGGACGGTTCTCAACAAAGAGCGCTTTCCACCTCCTCCAGGTGCAGACTGACAATGGGCAGAGCAAAACCTGGAAAGAAATTTGGAAGCTAGAAGTCCCGGAACGAGTTCGCTGCTTCATGTGGCTAGTTGCCCACAACAGGATTAGCTCAAATGAGCAGCGAGCGAAGCGGCATATTTCAGTGACGTCTGGCTGTTTCAGGTGCGAGAATCAGGTGGAGTCTACCTTGCATATCCTCAGAGATTGTCCCCCAGCTGCTTTTGTCTGGATGCGCACGGTACCTGCAGATCAACATCAAGCCTTCTTCAGCATGGACTTGGACCTCTGGCTCGCCACCAACCTGCAGAAGACCGATAGGTATGTGGAGGATACACCTTGGAATGCCTTTTTCAGTATTGCCATCTGGAACCTTTGGAAAAACAGGAACGAAGGCGCTTTCAGAGGAATCGAGAAGACTCTATCACCGCCATCCCTCGTCCAAGCTATTAGGATCAAAGCAGGCATTTGGTACAAGGCGTGGACGGCTCCGAGGGACAGCTTGGGACACAGAAGTGCGCCGACTCAACGGGTGACCAAGGATATCAGCTGGATCCCTCCCCCTCTGGGATGGTGCAAGCTTAATGTGGATGGGGCCGCCAATGGTACTCACGGACCTGCGGGAGCGGGTGGTATCTTGAGAGATCACCAGGGGAGATGGAGGCGTGGTTTCATTGTTAATATGGGGACCTGCTCGGCGATTCAAGCGGAGCTCTGGGGAATTTTCCATGGGCTCGGTTTGGCTTGGCAGAATGGTAGCAGAACCTTGATTGTTGAGACTGATTCCCAACTTGCTCTCCAACTCATCGAGAAGAGGAAGGACCCTGTTCACCCGCTTGCAACACTTTTGACGGCAATCAGACGAAGACTAGCCCAAGACTGGGTGGTGCGTCTTTGCCATACTTACCGGGAGGGGAATAGAGTCGCGGACTGGCTCTCGAAGCACAGTCTCGTCTATCCCTATGGGAAGTATGAATTAGACACACCCCCGGAAGCTCTTCAGGCCATTATTGGAGATGATATGAGAGGGCAATCTTTCCCTAGGAATGTGGTGTTGGAAACTCCAGAGACCCATACCTTGTTGTAATCTAGGCACTCCCCCTCCCCCCTTGTAACCCCTTCTTTTCTTCGGCCTTGTGCCTCCCCTGCTGCAAAAAAAAAACTATGAATAATGATTGATGGTAAGGAGAAAATTTAACATTGATAATGTAAATAAAAAATTAAATAGCTAGAAAATTCTACCATGCCTAACATCATAGGCAGCGAAGATTTTTCCTAAACAAGATTTTTCTATCTACTCCTTTTGAAGAAACGAGTCACATTTCCATGTTGATGCCGTGTGTTTTCTCCTAACACACTCCTTGATCTTACTACGAAGTTGGATGTTAGGCATATCCAAAAAAATTTATGCACACTCATCACATATTCATCCATTATATTTAATGAAAATGGAGACTCACCATTGCGATAAATCTTTTTTAGTGAGTTGTTGTCCTCCTTAAAAAAAAAAAAGAAAAAAAACTGAACTCGGAATATGTGCTTGCGGTGGATATTTATATTTAAACTTTAATAAAAGATAGGGCAATCAAATAATTTTTAAAAATAATGTCGGTACTTGTTTAAATTAATATTATATTATTTACTTATGTAATCTGATTATAAATTTATTACAAAATCTCTTTATCTAATCAAATCCGAATAAAAAAATTATAATATCCGCGACGAAGTGCGGACAGCACCTAGTATATAATTAAAAATAATCAATAAATACATGACTATCGTGACGCTCTGGAAAATTACTCAGCTATTTTTGCTTTCACGTGGAAAAACCATGTTATTGTATGGCCAATAAGTTAAGCTAGGTTGGAGCCTTTTTTTAGCAACTTTAATTTTGATAGTACATTGATTCCACGATGATGAACACGAATGAAAAGTGTAGCTTCTATAGTTATAAACTTATAATACCTGTTTGAACCTAACTGAGTGTAAGAGTGAGGTTCGGGAAAATGGGTCGAGGAGAATAAGCAATGAGAATCTGTCGTGGATCCAAGAACAAAGAAAGGGAAGAATGAAACCGAGAGAGTTATCTTTTAGTGAGAGAAGTCTGTTCTTTTGTCTAGAGATAGAGTCTGAAAAATTCGATCCCCTCACCCACCGGAGTAAATGCCTTATTTATAGGCTACATGGTGGTGGGTGAGTTACATGGTGACATATCATGGTGACATGACTACTGACATGTCAGAAGACTAGGCCATATCCCTACCTAGCCTTTCATTATACCTAGGACTGTGATGTGACCACCCGATAGGTGGGACACGGCGTCGTTTCCCGTACTCGCTAATTTAGTCAACACTGGACTCGGGCTGCCCTTGGACGCGCTGGCACTGATGCGCCCGTCTCTAGGTATTCGCGCACGCCGATGTGTTCGCTCGCGCCGGTGCTGGCGCGCCCGCCTCTTGGTATTGACGCTCGGCGGTGTGCTTGCTCGCGCTGATGCTTGTGCGCCCGTCTCTTGGTGTCTGTATTTCTTTGGCGCGACGAAATCCGAGTCACATGCCCAACAACATTCATATTCTTTGTTTTGGTGAGCTAGCTAGCTAGCTGATAACATGCTTCCTTTTAAGCTTTTTTTATAAGGAATCACTCCTCCATGTTTTCTGCAACTAAAGGGTACCCGAATCCCACCCACCCATTTTCTGCAAGGAAATGCCTAGCTTTTTCACAATAACTAATGAAATTGCTTTAATTAACACGTCATTAAATGCATATTAGTTATAAAATATTAATCTAGAATCAGGTTTAGTTAATTTTTTCCCCACGGACAAAGAAAGAAACTGAGAAAGGTGGGAGACTGGGAGGATATATATATATGCTAGTGATCCAGGAGACAAAAGCAACTTACTGATAAACAAATGCTTTTGAGGATCGGAAGAAGAATTTCAGGGTTTTGATTCACAGAATGAAAGCATCCCAGCTAAACCTAATTAATTAATGGATTAATGAGGAATTAGATTACTTAATTAGGTACCAGCCGGAAAGTAGTTGGAAGAGGTTGCCGTCGAGCTCAGCTCAGCAGCCAAAAATTAGTCAATTTTGATGACTGGTAATAGTTAGTGGTGTGAAATTAGTCAAAAAGTATAAAGGGAAAACGATAAGCCTCTTGCTTGAGAACATATATAACTAACCCCTAAGTAAATGTCGGTATATTTGGTGTCCTGTAGTAAAATATCGGGCCTGGTTAGGCTAACGACAAGCATTTCTTTGGTGCTAAACTAGTAACTAACAGACAATTACACTGAACAGCATCCAATAGCTATCAAATCATGTTGTGAGAGGGGCTTGGTCATCCATTGTTTTCGGTGGAATTTCTTATTATTTTGGTATGAACATCCATCTCTTATATCAGGACAGGAAAAATATTATTTTCTTCATCAAAAGATTGCTTGTATTCGTAGAGGAAAACAACTCAATTAAAGAATGAAGCACCAAAAGAGTTGTTTGTGCTATCAAGTGAGTAACCTTATTACTATTGCATCATTTGCATCCAACAAACGAATATGAAAATGAACACACTCATCACGAAGGATCAGAATTTCCGCGATCCCCATCCCTCAAAGTCTGTCGATTTCCTTGCCATAATCGTATCAATCACCACCTTTGCATCGCTGAAAAAAAAATCACAAACATTAATCTCCGAGACAAACACTATTGGGTCGCTTCACGAATAACCAATAACTCAACCATGAATGCATCAGATATTACCTCGTACAACGTCATCGCTACAAATACCTGATAACTTATCTACCTGTATAAAATAAAAAATCGCTCATTTACGAGTACGCTAAATACACCAAAACAACTAGGGCTGAAAATTACCCTGACCCTGTCTGACCCGCACATGAAGGGTCAAGATGTATAGTTGACCTGCCCTTGTTTCCTTCTTGACCCTGTATGATAGGGGTGGCATTGGTTGGGTTCGGACCGCACCGCACCGTACCACATTCATATAAACCGCACCGCATCTTTGACCGCAAAGTTATCGGTGCGGTCAAACCAAACCGCATAGATTAACGGTTTGGTACGGTTTAGACCGAACTACATTTTGACCGCAATTCCCTGTGCTGACGAAATTCCGAAGGAAAAGAATCAGAAAAATAAAAAATACATCATCCTTTCTCTTTGCTCAGCAAATATGCTATTCCAACTAGTGTTGTCCAATTCGAAGTCAACTGGAGATTTCTCTAACAAAGCCTTAAGCTCCTGTTCATAAGGATGCAAATTGGAACAATTCTCTACTGCAACATTACAGAATAGAAGAAAAGGTTTCAGGCAGTCCATGTGCTTGATGGATCAGGCCGTCCCTGCACAAAAGAATGCGAGTGGGGAAAGACAGAAAAAAACAACAGCATGCCCGGGGAATAGAACCCTTGCCTTAAACGAACCAGATCGATAAGCAAAGAAACACAAAGATCAGTAAAAGCAGAGCAGGGGTTGACTCGTAGATTCTTGAAAAGACCGGCGAATGGACATGACCAAAGTCAGGTAAGGCCTTCAAGCCTGTCGATCTTGCCATGAGCAACAATTCAATCCCTCCACATTGCTCTGTTTCCTGCCACCAAAACAGAGCATATGTTACACAATAAAAAGAAATCAGATGCTGCCACCAAAACCCATATTAGATTCTCTATTTTCTGCCACCAAAACAGAGCATATGTTGCACAATCAATGAGGTCACAGCAAAAACAATGAGACTGATGATTCTGTTACTTTGCTGGACAGTGACCTTGGGTCATATGTTAGAGCAGACATATATGAATTAAGACCTTGGTATGAAACCATTGGGTTGAAGGAGTACTAGCAGGCTTTCTCAAGAATTAAATAATGTAAATAGCTCAAATAGTTAGGACAGGTTCATGAATAGATCCCACATTTTTCATTACACAGTCCCCTCAACAAAAGCCTGATATATCATTGTACTTAAACTAGGTTTATACTTCGGGCAACTACAGTACAAAGACACATCTTTTGGCCACTCTCATATCATTATGCCGGAAACTAATTTGTCCCAACTTAACTTAGGAGAAGAACATCAGCAGCCAGTGTGCTTTTTACCATCTAACTTAAGGATGATCCATCCACCACAATTCAAACGAAACCCAAACCAGGAAGGAAAAGAATAGAGTTTTAAGAAACACTCAATCCTACAGTATGCTTGTATAGGAGATAATACATGAATAAGAAACGAAGAGGAGAATTAGAGAGCAATAAACAAGGCAGCTCAGAAATTGCACTAATGATTAGGTTCAAATGTTACCTTATATGCTTGCGCTTGCCTCTACATTAGGACTCATACGAGGAGTATGGATAAGGGGAAGTGGAACATCGGACATACCAATAGCATTCATTATCATGCTCAACTCTGAAATTCATAAGATGAAAGTTTAACCACCACATAAAACGTACATGGTACATAAAAAATATCTTTTTTAGGTTACTCACCTTCATCGATATTGTCAATCTCCTATGAATCTTCTTCAACTAGACACGCACTAGAGTCTTCCCGGAGCCAACTAGACACTGAAATAAATTGACGAGTACATTAAGAAGTCAACCATAGTAAAGAAACTCACCTCACTAACACTAAGCACATTCGTGTTGGGTATCGGTGCTCGAGCTCGTTTTCCCTGTGAGTCTTTTGATTTCATCATTCCGATAACAGTATCTTTTGTTTCCCTTTTGCTTGATATCGAATTCACAGATTCATTACAGCCCTACAAGCATATGAAAGAAGACAGTTAGAACATTGTGACAGGTAAAAATATAAACATAATTTCATATAATGACATATTATGATCTGAAAGCAAATCCCATCTAACCCTCCTCTACCATATTATGATTTGTAAGCAAAACCCATCTTATCTCCAGAGTTAAAACTAAGCTATAGATCAAACAACTTCACATCAGGAACATAATATACAATGAACATCTTATACCTAACGAATCTAATCCCATCTAACCCTTCTCTATTCTCGACAACATATGATATGGTAGCAAGCAAGTCAGCACCATGGATTGTTGAGTTTCTAG